AAGGATTTCATATGCAAGAACTGAATGTGATTTTAATTGATTTTATTACAGTTTTAGCCGTATTTAATTAAATCTCAATTGAATTTCATTCGATTTCAATTGATTCCAACGGGATTTTAATTCGATTTTAATAGATTTTAAAAGGAATTTTACTTAAATTCAATTGATTCTAAAGGGATTTTAATTCGATTTCAATTGATTTTAAAAGGAAATTTAACAGGAATTCTAATTAAATTTCAATTGATTCTAACGCGAGTTTAATTCGATTTTAATTGATTTTAAAAGGAAATTTATGAGGAATTCTAATTCAATTTCAATTGATGCCAACGTGATTTTAATTCGAGTTTAATTGATTTTAAAAGGAAATCTAATCAAATTTCAATTGATTCTAAAGGAGTTTTAATTCGATTTCAATTGATTTTAAAAGGAAATTTAAAAGGAATTCTAATTAAATTTCAATTGATTCTAACGGGATTTTAACTCGATTTGGATTGATTTTAAAAGGAATGTTAATCGATTTTAATTGATTTTACATGGAATTTTCATTAAATTTCAAGTGATTCTAACGGGATTTTAATTCGATTTTAATTGATTTTAAAGGGAATTTTAACTATAATTTAAATGATTCTAACTTGCTTTTAATTCGATTTTAATTGATTTAAAAGGGAATTTTAATTAAATTGTAATTGATATTTCAATTGATTTTAAAAGGAGTTTAAAGGCGGCCCTACCAAATCCTTTCAATAAATGCGCACCCCCTAATAATAAATAATTTCTGACACCCCGGAGTATTTATTATTACGGGGGGGGAGGTTTATTATTAGGGGGAAGGGATTATGTACCAGGACCGGCCATTGGACCCTATATGAATGCCCTACTCGGACCCGTATAAAAGGAGGGACTCATAAAGATGCCCGTCCCGGAAGGGAACAGAATTTAGGGTTTAGTCATTGAGGGTCTATGGGGTTTACTGGTGAGTTTAGGCCGCAGGGCTCAGATGCTTGGATGGGATCTGCAAAATCATCGACGGGTGTATAAGACAAACACCACCGTGCCCCACAATCCCTCCCCCCTAACGTTAGATCCCCCCACCCCCTAACCTTAAATATTCCCAATATGTTCTAGTATACCACAATAGGAATATTTGATACCAGAGGGAGGGTATCATCATGGCTCCACAATGCGACTTCGAAAGGATTTCTAGACTTGAAGTAAAGGTAGGTGCCAAGATTATGATCCCCTTTTGGAGAGGTCCTTACAGTGAAGATCTAGGTATTGCCAAAGAGACATCTACGAAGATCATAGGATTGCCCTCCAGTTACACTTGTTATATGAGTTATAGTATAGACTCCTCGAATTCCCTGAATATCCCCTATAATACTCCCGTATATACTTCCCTATGTAACCCCCTTTACGGATTTTAGATTATAGCTCATATGACGATCTGCTGCCAAAACAGTACGTACTTGCCCCGATAGAGTCGAGCTATTTAAGCAGTGTGGACCCCCTCAGTGCATGCAGATGGGCTGAGTCTAAACTCCTTAGAGGGGGTTACATAGAGACTTACATAATCCCCTGTATTTGGGGTTTAGGGTTTATGGTCTAAACTCATTCAAGGAGAGTTAGAAAGGGGATTGTACAGGGGAGAATTATAGGGCTATTCAGGGGGATAAGAGGAGTTTAGATTATAGCTCAAATGGGTAAGTGGCTTAGCAGGAGCTTTTGACATGACAGGCTCCCCAGAAGTACGTTTCGCCACCTTGGATCTCTATCCCTTTCGACTCTAAACCCTAAACCCTAAACCCTAAAGTACAGCACTGTAGGTCTCAACCCCGAAGCCCTAAACCCAAGCTGCAAGCGCAAGGCAAGACGGAACGCCATGACGCTCCTAACTGAGATCATGGAGGACCCCGTTCAAGATAGTCAGCTGCAGATGAGTTTAGGGCTATATAGGGGTTGTATTGGGATAATGGAAACGGAAATTCAAAACTTCTATAATTCAAGATTGTAAGGGTTTTCAAGTTATTGCCGAGCTTTCCCGCAATGTTTTGCAGTCTAGACATGTCCGTCTAAAATCCCTATGCAAACCTCATCTAATCCCAGTTTGCACATCATTTTCTATTTTTCATGTGGCTCTCTCTCTCTCTCTCTCTCTCTCTCTCTCTGAATCTCTGTTGTAGGGGTCAGTGGGGCGGCTCGCTCTTGTAAGCATTACTATTCCTTAGTGTTATTCTTATGATAGCCATGAGTATTCCCATCACTATTGCTCGTACTATCACTCTTGCCATTCCGATTCCTAGCATGTTTGTTGATTTGAATTAGCTGCTGTCATTACTATTTTCCGGTTCATTGGTTAGCACCCTAAGCACTGAACCCTAAACCCTTAGCACTAAATCCTAAAACCTAGGCACTAAACCCTACACCATAAAACCTTGCTAATATTCTTGGTTGGCTGTGGTGGTGTATTCCATGTCGGGGACGGGTCGAAGGCGTTTGTGTCGGATGCCCGTTCGCCCTTCAGCCCAAAACAAGGCATTTAGGGGGTTTCCACCCTTTGTAAGGGATATAGGGTATATCCGGTTTGATTAGGGCTTCCCAAAAAATTAGTGGTCCTTGTTTTGGGGTCCCCAGAACAAGGATTACAGTATATTGTATTCTATATTGGGGCCCTGCTTTATGAAAACTCCCTAAACCCTAAACCCTAAACCCTAAACCGTGTGGGATTGGGATTGGCGAGTTGGAGCCTTAGTGAAACTCTGAACAACCAACTCTGTGGCTTCCAAGCCGAATCCTAAAACGGTTCAGGGTTTAGATTTCAGGGTTCTACAAATCCTGATGCTTCCAAGAAGGTTCTAAAACGGTTTAGGGTTTAGGGTTTAGGGTTCTACAAACCCTGATTTGAGCGACTGTTAATATTAGCCTTGCCCAGAGATCGATAAGGGTGCTAATAAAGGTCCCTCTTGTAGTCTAGCATCGTCCCTAATAGAATCCTTCATAAGGAGCTCATATCCATTAATTTTTCTGGGGAAATACTGGCTGTAGCTCATTTG